TAGCCACTTCTCATCTCGCTCCTCTGTCCCATTCCCCCCCCCCCTCCCTCATAAGTCGCACATATTGCGAAAGTTACCGTTTCTCCTTACCTTGTCTCCCCTTGATGTTTGTCATCTCATCGGTGGTCTACCGACAAACGCGTCAGGTTTATCCTATATTCCAAGTTCCCAATGCATAATGTAAAAGTCCAACCTTGTGCATAAACACTCACGTTTCTTGTGCTGTAAATAGCTGTACACAAGTGTTTTACAGAAGTTGGTAATTAATATGCGCGAGAATCCCTTCCTGTAAAGAAAAAAAATCGAGGAACTGTTGGCAGCGCTCCCCCTTGCCTTGCCGTGCACGCGCACTTGTGCGAGTGCGGCTATCTCAGCTTTCTATGCGCGCGCGTCCCCATCCCCCCACCTATCGCTTTCATTCACTGAGTCCAATTTCCTCGCTGATGACTTGTTTCGTGAGCGGTCGCACTTTGTATTCCTTAAAGTTTATAAGAAAATTCCAGATTTCAGTTTTTGCGACGGCGTTTGCATTTGATTCAAAATGAGCGCTTCTTGTACCTTTTGGATTTAAAATTGACAGCTTTGTCTCTAAACTTCTCAAGATCTGGGCTTTTACTCTGACAACAATCCGCAAGACGGTCGCTCTTCACATACTTTGCATCCGCATGGGATCCACAGTGGTCGAGTCCAGTTTGCCCCGCCCCAAAATTCAGACTCAATTCTACCGTCCACCGTGGCAATCACGATTGCCAGAAGACGTGAGACCAGAAGTGCTACATCAGATCGTTCCCGTGTCAGCATCGGTGTCGTTCTGTCGCTGGCTTTGTTGATTCCACCTAGATTGCCACTTTACGTTTGTGTTTTGTCGCTGTCGACTCAGTTGGTCGAAACCGCATGTTAAGAGTCAGTCCTACATTTCAGAGTGCGCTGTGAATCCCCTCACCCGAGGACTGGGGATGCGGAGATTGATTGGTAGGAGAAAACTGGGGGTCCACGTATCCCTATTGTTTTCCCTTAACCTCCTCTTTTCCTGTATTTAGCTGCTGATGTTTCAAACTAAAGCCTGAAACCAAAGGATCCGTGCTGAATAGGAAAAGTACGGCGATAATCTATCCTGTCTGCCGGCAAAGTTGCCGGGTGATTGTCCAGTTTTAAAATCTTATGAAGTACGAACTTGAACTGACCAATACGCTGAAGGAGACGGAAACAATCAGTCATGTTAGCCGCCACCATAAGTATGAAGGCCGCTTCTCCATCCTTAAGGCGAAAGTGGGGCCGTTCATACATCACTTACCTCACATATGTCGTCGCCTACCAACTAACCCCGCTCACTTGTACCTGCGCCGGAGAAAGTCAGGTGGTATGTCCTGCAACGAAGTAAATTGTTGAAGTCCTCACTATTTCTGCAGGCCTCCGGGGTATTTCGTTAGCGACAGCGAGGTGAACGAGTAGTGCTTGGGGTTATGGGGTGGTCACCAACAGCACTTGGAGTAAAATCACGAATGGTTGGTTGGCTCTTTGTCACGCCACTTCCATCCGCCCTGCTGGGATGTCACGGTCCTCTTATCGGGAGTCCTTTTGCGAGGACTCTAGTCAGTCTTCTGGACATTTTTCTCATTGATGACGAGAACACCCTGCTTTGTGGCATTGTAAGGCCTCATTCACTATAATCTCACACTCGAAACTAGTAAGACCTGAAAGCTAGTCGGGATTTAGAGAGTTGCCGGCTGGTGCTCCAATCCGGTCGCCTTTTTAATAAGGGTCGGACTGTAATCGCTCCGACGCATGACCTTTGTAGTACATCTCAAGTCTGTGTGGTTAGAGCCAGTCTGGCACACAGATGGAGGACCCACCTGCTGTACCCTGTCACATGCCCAGCCGGCTCAGCCTCGCCAGGCCATTTTCACGCGGACCAGTGCCTAGCTTCTTCACTGTTGGCAAACCACAGCCCCCCTGGGCTACCACGACACTAACCTTCGTGGCCTCGAAGGTTTCTGATTGACGTAAAACTCGATCCTTCTCAGGACCAAGGGTCAGGCATCGGTGGCCTCCTCTCACTGCGGTCTCCACGGCACTCGGTGCGTGAGACCCGAAGGCTTCTCGTTGAGGATTTGTTCGTGCGAATTTCGGGGGCGGCGTTTTAGTACGCCACTGCGGATGCGTCTATCCCCAGCTATCTTGTCACTGGAGCATTTTGAATTGCTGGACAACTCTGCTACTTAAATGACTGGTTCGTTTTGGGTTTCGACACAGATCCCGGCGCATGTATGCACGTGTGTATTTTGGTACTGCATGGTCCGATGCTGAGCACCAGATCGAATAAGGCCTAGAGTTATTGCTTGTGGAGTTAGTTTATGGCGGCTTTGTTCGCTTTAACTTGTCCCAATCGCAAGGGAAGGAGATCCAGAGCCAGTATAAGAAAAGACTTGCCTTTACGCAAAGTGCATGGCATTAATTAATAGATAGGGTTGACTGAATACCGACCGCTTACGCGATGCTTGCGTGGAAAATAAGTCATGTCGCATCCAGAAATGATTCGTCCCGAAGCCCACCTATGAGTACTTCATGCTTTGATAATTGAAACTGTTGGTCTCGAAGCCTATGTCGTAGCGTTGAACTAAGCTGAAAAATTATAAGGTCATTGAGCAAATGTGTTTAAGTGCATGCTTACACCCCAGTGAGGCTCATACGAATCCTCACAAGTCACCTGTCTCTTGCCAGGTCTAAACTTCGAAAAATCATGGCCAAGAGGCTTAAGGCTAACAGTGAGTAGCACCGTTCGAACCCTACTCAGGATGTCCACACATGATCTCTCTGTTCTATCGTGCAAGCTTTCCGCGCAAGCATGCCTGCACTCTGCCACCTTTCTCACAAGCACCTATTTCGCCCTGTCCTACGGTGACACCTGCTAAGCGTGGTACCCCCAGAAATATAAGATATTTCGAGTATGTATGCCGACTACTTGGTTTCTCTGGAATATTTACATGCAGATACTGCGTGCTGTCACCGAAATAGTTTGGTACCAGCCTTTTCATTAAACGTAAGGGTTGTTTGATTTTTAATTCACGCCGGACAACACTTAAGACCGAGTCCCTCCTCGTCTGTCTCCGTTCAAAGCGACTGCCGCTGGCATTAAAATGAATGCGACAGATATGCAGGTGTCGTGAACGGATAAGGCCTGCGTCTTGCCCCTACGAGTCCTGGCATTGTAGGAGCCCACCGCAATTTTCACCCATTGTAATACTGCATCCGTAAAGCAGGAGGGAGGCAGTCCCTGCTGAATCAGGACGCCCTAGCTGGGGAGATATCGAGTGTTAGCAGAAGTTTGTGACCGACGTCAGCCAGAGGAGCGTTAGTGCCACGCCAGTGGTGTCGGACAGGACGATGCACGCCAGCGACGCCGACGCGTGCGGACAGAATAGACGGTGTAATCTTGCGGTGGTTATGGGTTCGCGGGTCCATGGGAGTGCGTAAGCACAGTATCCCTCGAGGGAACTTTCGCACAACTTAGTCTGAGCCGCGTTCACATCCAAACAGGCCGGCGCGTGATCCGACCTGTCCCAAAGTACCACACAAGCGTCTGCCGCCGTGGTCTTCAGGCTGAAATGATAGACAAGCTATAACAGACCCGTCCTGTCCACCAGGTTACGTCAGAACTATAGTGGAAAGCCTCCAGTCGTTCTTCTACTTTGAATGACCGCCAACTACCAGTGGTACAAGACGACCTCGAATTAACTGCATGCACAAGTTAAGGGGACGTCGACAGGACTGACAGACAAACCGGTAAAACCTCATTCGAAGTAATTTTTCGGATATCTCGTCCGTCTTTTCCCGATGTTTCACGCCACTCCTGGTGTTTGGCTGATTTGAGAAGTCGGCCGGGTGCGGGGATATTGAGCTCTACCCCGGTACTACAGGTGGCCTCGGGCTAGATCCCGGGGGCCCCTATTCCCTCATCGGCCTAACTGATCGGCTCTAACCCCTTTCGGGAATTCAGGGCAGGGCCACCAGCAATATTTCCATGCTCAACCGCGAAATCCTGAACATTTCCACTCCCGAGTTAGTAGGACGAATTACCTGACACTCCAAACTCCTGGATTGTTAAGGAAAACCTCTTTCTCAGCCAACGCATGGTTTCTGTTCGGATTATCAATCAAATACCCTGTAGGCAAACGGCTAATAACAGTAAGAACACTTGACATTTTCCCTTATTCTAACTATCGGAATATTTCTCACAAGAACATTGCAACTGACATGCCCTCGGTGACTCGCACGACGAGCCTACCATCATCTGGGAGGCCCCTTCTCGCAGGACTTCATGAAAGAACATTGTCAAAGCTGCAAACGCGGTTCAAACCCGACGGGGAACGCGCTCAGGCCAAACATACGTCCGTCCTTCCGAGAAGGCCTGATTGCAATAGCTCCGGGACAGAGTGAACACTTGGTCGTAGCTATTTCATCGTTCCGCAGCAAACCCTCAGTGGCTGTGAGTGGGTTTTTTTCATAGCATACCTGAACACTGCTCTACTTGTCGAATACACGGACTGTGTCAACTTTACAAATTAAGCTCTGGTTCAAAAGTCCGTAGGGAGCCTGCTTGGCGCTGAACGAGGCAGCAGAATTTTTATGAGAGACTACCAATATGGATTACTTTCATGAACAGGACTTCAGCCTCGACGGGGAAACCTACGTAGGCGTTTCTGTTCGTGATGGCGAGTGCTGATAAGCAGTGCAGCCTGTTATTTTTGATGTGGAAAAACTACCTCGTTTTCCCTCGGTTAAATTGCAAGGGAGCAAGTCCATAAACGCACAGAAAAAAACGGCGGCAATACAAACTCTTTGCATACGTAAGATCTTTGTACAGGGAAAATGTAGTGAGCATACAAGAAGGTAAAGATGGTGATGTCGTCGATGTAATGTCAGGTCGCAAACAAGTTGGTGGTTGTTCCCATGCGTCGCTAAAAGGTAGAGAAAAGAAGGCGCTGATGGGATGCACAGAACATCGGGACAAGGTATTCAAAACAGTCAATACAACGTAAATGAAAGCAAACACAGTATACAAAAGTCGAACAAGCATTAGCAAGTAGGATAAGTTGGGTGTTACATCCGAGTCTGTGTTAATTGCCCAAACGACTCGTTCTAGTGCTCTGCAGAGAATCTGAACAAAGGCCGTGAAGCCGGGCGCTACACTCAGTGATGCAGGACGATGTTCCGGTTAAAAACAAAATCACGCTTCTGATCTGAAAGCGCAAACAGAAGTGAATAGATCTCTGACGCGTGGAAGTTACTCAGCTTGGCTGCCCTTCGTAAGAGCCTCCGCCTTTCTGCGCATAGAATTCTTGTCGTCAAGAGTTATGTGCAGCATATTGTGACTGTTGGCTAAGAAACACGGCGACTGCAGGTTCAGGATGCCGCGTAAGTCATCCCAGCAGATAAAGTTAAAACATGACACGAATTAACCTCTGGTGCGTGCAAGGAGAAAAAAACTAAACAAATAACGTGTCCCAAGCTTACACGGTAATGCGTCACCTTTAATGTACCCAGGAGCATCCCGGATGGTGGTTGAAAATGTTGAACTCTTGCTGGGAGGCCCCTCAGAAGGCTTCCCCCGGCAACGGTGTCATTTTGGAGACACTTTTTGACAGAATACTACGTGGAAACCGTGGCCGGGCTGGTGCCGTACAAACGCGCCCCTAGGGTAAAGCGTTGCTATGACCAAACGTAAGGCAGCAAAGATCGACTGTATTGAAACCTACCCCTATTGTACTTTAAGAGCTCTCATGAGGCTGGAGGGAATCCTTGCCTCCTTTAAGTGACGGAGAAGGCCATGAAACTTGGAAAGCGCGTAGATTAATAAAGACGCATCTACTTCTCCCACGCTTACCACGTCCTCAGTGTTTTTATGGCAAACGGGCGCAGTGGCCGAAGCGGGTAAATCTACATTACGCATACCAAACGCGCACAAGAGCTGGTTCCTCATCGCCATGGGCCAGTCTTCAAGAAGGGAGTTTTGAACCATCTATCAAAAAGAGTTTCCGTGAGGGCAGCATTTAGAGGCCGCTGCTTATTGATCCGCATTTCGGAGGAGGACCCACTTAACCTGTCATTTGAGGGCCCTCCAATGGACAAACAGTAGCGTGCCACGATAGTTGGGAAGCGTCTTTGTCTTTTTATAATGAGGAGATTGGGCAGTGGATCCGACCCGAATCGACCCACTCTCACTTCCATGTGGCGTATCAGTGTCAGGCCCGAGTCCGGCTGATTGTACTTATAATGCCACCATGCCTGGTCCAGCCGACCTTGTTGATGTCGTGAGTTGTACCTCTCCACGCGTGACGATCTGGGACATCAGATCTGGAGAGCCCAACCCTTTTTCTCCTCAAGCGACGGAGGCCGAATACAGCGATCCAAGGACCACTTCCGTGTCTTAGCGAACCGTGTCACCCTCAGGTAGGAGACGGCACCAGACCGAGAGCAGCAACACTGAGCTCATGAGGCGGAGGGCGAAGAACGTACTCAAACCACCGCAGTCGTCTTCCGGAGATTACCCGGAATATCATTTCGATTTTGCCGGAAGGAGTGCGAACTGCCATCTAAAGCCAAGTCAGTGCGCTTCACTCGAAGACTGGCTCTCAGGTGGCGGCGGCGGCGGCGGCGGCAGCGGTCAGGCGCCTGCAGTTTTCGCTCCGGATGAGGTCGGGCGCAATGGCTGTCGTGGCGTAGAGCCCAGGTGTAGCACGTGCCATACAGAGAAGTTCACTGATTGGGCGCAGTGCCGCATGAATCTGCTTTTAACGGTCGTCAAGAGTTGACAAGCGTTAGTGGATCGCACGAAGTGTGCACACACACTTTTCCGCAACAAGTAGTCCTATGATCCCCACTAAGATCGACTGAGACAAGGCCAAGAAAAACCGCAAATTCAATTTGGTGAAAAACATCATTTGCTAAGAAACAGGGGGTAGGCAGCATTGCAACCAACAATTCATATGTAGCGCGGTCAGTGAGTAGCCTAGGAGTTCGCTGAAAAGCTGCCTGTTCAAGCTAAGGTTTGATCGCAAGAAACAAAAGGGAGGATTATGATAAACGCATTACGGTAGTCGCCTGTCGCCGCAGTACTTTTGAGCCAGCATACATCGGCACTGGCTCGTGGATGTATGTGAGCAAATCATGGACGCAAAAGCTACGGCACCATGCGTAGGATCGAGATAAGAGCGTCGAAAGTTGGACCTACCTCGAGAAGCCGTTGCCGCAGTTGAGATTCCCGCCTTTCGAGGAGATTCTGTCGCAGCCTATCGAGCTCGGTGGTCTCGGGAGACTGAGGTGGGGCAACGACTGGACTGGCAGTGAAATCAAACACGTGCTTGGTGTCCGAAGAGACCTAGATGGCGAAATTGGTGGGCGCAAGGGCGGCCCAGAGAGGACGACTTTGTCAAAATTTGGTAATGACTGAAACTCGGATAACGTGATAAAATCAATGCAAAGGAAAGTCGGCGACGAAGGCAGCTGGATTGTCACTACTAACATTGTTGTTACTGCAAATGCCACTACCAGTGCCGCCATTAATAGAAGCATTTTCATCATCGTCATCACCATCATCGTCACCACCACCATCATTACAAGCACCGCTGTCACCAGTCTCGACAGCAGCACTTGGCTCCAGATGAAGACTGCGCAACTCCGAGGTGCGATTCGAGCCTTAAAGAGAAGATATGTGATCTCAACGAATCTATTCGGCGTCTAACGTTTTGGGTAATTCGGGATTTGATTCATGGAGAAGGAATTGGGCAACCAGACCGAAAATCAGGGAACAGGGAAAAAGGTCAAGTATTGACGACGCGCACTCTAAGAGAGGCAGAATGCACTGACGCCAATATATTTCGCAACAGCTCTTCAACCGTTGTAATTGCTTAGAATTTTGAAAAAAACAGTGTCTAAAAAAATATATTATCTGTTTCGGGGGAAGCGTAATCGCGGCACTTAGAAACACTCAGCGTGGTCAACTTTGCGAGGAATCTGTAAACCGGAAAAACGTACCACACTGGGTCAGAGCGTTTTCGTCTGAGCAAAGAGGGGGTCAAACTCTCCTAGAAGTGCTCAAAAGAGCTACGGCGAAATCGGCTAGTCAGGAAAGACCAGATTATTAATCGGTGCCAAAAGAAAACTGCTCACCGCGTCCAGCGCCCTTTACTGCGAAGGGCCCGTTCCACGTTTTCAGACTACCTGACTGGGCTTGTGTTCAGCGGGACGTCTGCCTGTCTGAACAAAGTGTAGATTATCCTCTCTGGCTTGCACCTCTAATGACATTCATCGCAACCAATTCGAAAGGCTCCCCGATGCAGATCCAACACATGCTGCACGATCAAGCTCCATTGTAGTCGGCAGGCGAAAGAATACGGAGCAAAGGTGAGCCGCTTGACGCTAGCCACACAAGCCATGGGACTGAGAGTCCAAAGACACGATCGCGATCAGTTTCCGCCACATTCACTCATGTTTCCAGTTAGTCACTTCGGCGCTGTCCCCAGTTAGAACTGGGTTGGGGCGAGATAGCATCTCAGGCGGTTTCGCCTACCAGTTGACACAACATGTGGTCGGCCCAACTCAGTCAACGAGCAAAGACCGCGCAGTTTACGAGTCCTGCTTGTGGACGACTGTGCAGCCATTCGCTTGGGGCGTGACCAGCGAGTGAAATAAAAACATCCAGAATAAATACATCCAGACGTGTGACATCTCCTGCGCGTACGACCCATGGCTCTCATTTGTACGAGAGGATTGTCTCGGCGTAGGCCTCGTGTGGTCGCAGTCTGATCTCCAGACTGACCTCCCGCCTAGTTCAGCGGGTTTAGGATGAAATCAAACGAAAGTCACACGCATATGGGTGATACAAAGCTCAGTTTCACTCTTATCTTGATCGTTTGGCATAAGGTTCGATCTAAGGCGGCAGAAACTACTCACTGAACCAATAGCTTCATCAACTAGCGTCGTCCGACAGATTCCACAATAACGAAGTCAGAGGCGATAGTAGTTATTTAGACAGATGAATTTCCCAACTCACTTCAGCTGCATACGCAAGTGTCTTATGAAGAAGACTCCGTCTGACGACAGATCGCCGACTACGTGCGCGTTAATGATTTTCCATAATCGGCTAAAAATGTCGACAGGCCGCACTATAGCAACTGCTGCCTGCTACATAGGGTATTCATGGCCGGTAAAACTTGTCCAAAAACCAATTCCAAATGCAACATCAGGGATGATGACAATGACTACAATTATGAAATGGTCTGCGAGCTTCTTACAAATGAGGCCGATGCTCAAAGTTGACTTGATCAGTTCTAAAAGAGACGATTCATATAATCAGAAAGAACTCATTAATGAAGAAACCTGAGGGGTATGCAAAATGAAAACTGTTTTACAGATTCTAAGGGTAGAAAACTTTTAAATGCTTTGACAGGAGCTGCGTTCTTGAATTGCTGCACCAAGCCGAAATAGCGTTGGCGACTGTATCATAATAACACTAGCCCCTGGCTAAATTCCATCTTATCTACTACCTTTCCATTTCTCCTTTAAGTCCCAGTACGTCAATTGTAAGAAGAGAAAACCCTATTATAGGGTATTCTAGTACCGACTCTTGCATCCCGATTTGTTCGTGCTCTCCCTATCGTGTGCTTCCCACAGTCGTAGCTACAACAATTTATTCATCTTACAACTCCAGAATGGATCGATTCCTTAGGGCGGAACGACTCGACGTTGACCCGAATGCCTAAGACGATTCAAACAGTGAAAGCATCGGTTTGGCACTTTTGAAAATTCCTTCTCCACGATCGATAGCCTGAAACCAGACAAATTAAGCGTTCGGACCACCTTTCTCCGAAAGTCTGGGAATACATTAATGAATGCTCCGGCTACGAAGAAGCTACTAAATTGTTACGAGATCTCTGCTTGAGACCCAAAAACGAAGTCTTCGCCCGCCTCTTCTGGCAACCTGCAGACAGGAAGGAGGTCAAACCCTCGACGAGTTTGCTCATAAGCTAAAGTCCTTGGCCTGAAACTGCGACGTTAAAGCTGTTGCGGGAGAAATCGCGACGATGCCATCAGAGATGAGTTCATCAGTGGCCTTTCGTTAAACCAGATTCGGTAGAGGTTATTGGAGCAGAAGAATTTGAACCTCCAAACTGCCTTTGATCAGGCAAGGTCACTGGATAGCATTACCTACAAATACAAGAGAGACTGGTAATGCTACTCTGCTTATATCACGCGCCTCTGTGAGGCTGCTGGCGGGGCTTGAGAGTCCCTAGGCACAGCGGGATGAGTGGGTTCCGTAGCGCGATCGAAGAGCGTCCTGCTACCAAGGGAACTAGAATTAGCAGAACGACAGTCTCTATCGCATCAGAACACTCCGATGACCTCGTTCTATGCTGCTACTGAGCCATGTGAAACTTCGTAGAGCCCCTTTAAAGATCTTGACCCAGTGGCTTCTACTTTATTCCATTGCAAACGTGTCCTTTGTGGATACGACAGGCACCGTCGTTCGATGTGCCCCGCAGGCAGTGTGTTATGCAAAGGATGCGGTAAAAAGGGCACTTCCGAAAGGTGTGTCTCGCATCACGAAACCGAAAGGCCGTCTCTTCCGCTATGTATCCTACCATTCCCACCGTGACATCAGGTGCTGTTCCTGACCATCTAATGGTTGAACTACAAATAAACGGGACTAATTTTCAAACCCTAATTGACACGGGTAGTTCTGAAAGTTACACTACTTTTTCGGTTGTGCTCCTAACTATGTAGAAGGTTCATAACTTTCGCGATAAGATATCCATGGCCACCACCGCCCTAACCGGCGCCACGCAAGGAAATGTTCTTGTCTCTGTTAAATATAAAGGTACAACATACGAGAAGGTCAAGCCATCGGTCTTGCCGGATTTGTGCGTCGATAATCTACTTGGATATGACTTTCTCTGGCTCCATGAAAGTGTTAAAATCCCTTTTTCTGGACCTAATCCTACGTCCTCGTCTTGTTCTGTGGCTGCCACTTGCAAACCCATCGCTACTAAACCTCGTAGACACGCCAATGTAGATGAGCGATTTATACGAGAAGAACCTCGCCGCCTTTTTTCTGGTGGTGTAATTGAACATCCATTGTGCTCTTCGCGAGCCCAGGTTTTGATGACAGCCAATGAAAACCACAAAAAGAGGATGGTTGTCGACTACAGCCCAACGATCAACAAATACACACTTCTAAATGCCTACCCCTCCCCCAGATTAGACGAAATGATCGAACATATTGCAAGCTACGACACATATAGCACTCTTGATCTCAAGAGCGCCTACCACCAGATACCCATCCAGGTAGGGGAAAAACCATACGCTGTCTTTGAAGCTTGTGGGCGTTTGTATCAATTTTGTCGTATCCCATTTGTATTTGCCTGTGCTAATCAGACTGCCAAAACTGTCATTAAATGTTTGTGACAGCTCTTCTCCATATTCAGTACTGCTTCGTACTTACACCGATCGGGGATTGTCATTCATGTCAAACACAGTTCAACAATTCCTCCGCAATAAGGGAGTGGCGATGAGAAGGACAATTCAGTACAATCCCCCGAAGAAATGGGCAGGTGGAACTTTGGACCAAACTTTAACGAAGACTCTTACTTGCTCTAAAATCTAAGTTTGCCTGTCACGCACTGGGGATCCGTTCCGCTTGACGTTTTACACTCAATCAAATCACTTTTGTGCACCGCCACCAATGCGACACCTCATGAGAGAATGCTTGTCTACAATACAAGGTCAACCACTGGGACTACTCTCCCCATGTGGCTTATCTCTCCTGGCCGAGTTCTGCCGAAGAAAAGCAATCAGCAGTGTAAATTTGATCCGCTCGTTGAGGAGGTCGATCTGATCCAGTGTAACCCGCAATGTGCACATATACGAGTCAGTAATGGCAGAGAAGAAACTGTATCCCTTCGACTACTTGCTGCCAGCGGTGAAAAAGCTATCGGTGATTGTCATCAGGAGACGTCCACGCCCGTATTTGAAAATTCCATCCCAGTTCCTTCTGACCACCGACCCATTATTGAGCAGGAAAGCAGCACCATTTGAACTGACAAACAGAATGATGCAATACGTGCTAGTGCACCTAATGCTGGCGATTTCTATATGCATAGCTTAAAGCCATTGATCAAACAGCAACAATAGCGTGTTCATACATACTGCCTTCGTAACAGAGACGCCTGAACTCTGCCACATGCAAACTTTCCTTTCCGATCCCTATGTTTGTTGGGTGAGTGTCATGCTACCTTATGCCCTGGCTAAATTCCATCTCATCTACTACCTTTCCATTTCTCGTTTTAGTTTCATTACGTCAAGTGGAAGATGAAAAAAGCCCTATTATAGGGTATTCCCGTTCTGATTCTTGCATCCTGATTTGTTCGTGCTCTCTCTCTCGTGTGCTTGCTACGGTTCCAGCTACAACTGTTAATAATTAAAAGTGCGTACTCACCGCAGGGGCGCGAATGATTTGTCTGTCGCTGTTCTTCTTCGTGGACGACTCAGGAATGCCGTGGCGTTCCTCGGGACTGGGAGATAGATCGACCGTCTGGCAGGAACTATTAACAAGTTTGTTGCGGCCCTTTTGAGACTTCCGTAATTCCTCACGGCGCTGAAATCACCCCGGAAACGGGAACATAAGAGAAGAAAGTAGGGCTCAATAGTCAAATACGAAGAGAGTTGAAAGCGGGAAAATTTATTCCAGCAGAAGGACCACAAGGAGCCAACTCTGCGCTGATTTTTTGTGGCTTTTCTTGTGCTTTTCCGTGACTGATTTATCGGTTGAACTGGTTTGTCCTTCTCTAATGGAGCTTTTTGCATAGAAATATGACAGGATTCAGGCCACCCAGCTACGTGTTTTTCACAGCATAGTCCCGAACCTAGGGCTCAATGTCGGTGACTCGAGACCTGAGTGTCGCAATTCAACCTGACTGAGACGCTGGGTCACAGAAAGCGCCAGTTATAGCACTTCTCCAATCAAATCATTCGACTGGCCAACAGCACCATGGTTGCTCTTCCTCACAGCAGATTCCCGTGTAAGAACCACTTCAATCAAACTGCGGTTTAGAATGGCCGAGTAAAAGGTCACAGATCACAGCAACCTCAATCAAGTCGGGGGTAGTTATTGCGCTGGAATTGTATGTTTACGGTCTGATTAGTCGGTATGTGGACCTGCGGCCCGCGTATACTGACATATGAAGCCATCTCCTCACTGGTAACTTCGACCGTTGGCTGACTACTACTCGGTCTCAGCGGTGTTGCGCCTCTCAAAACCGTTTCCACAGCTCTGACAACACATTCCTGTAGGAACCTGAAAGCACAGACGAGTAAATGTATGGTTCAAAACCTCTACCAACCCTCTTCTTAACACAGGCAAGTACCTGGGACTCAAGTACTCTCTTCCACAGTGTGTTAAACTGTTCTGACGGGTTTGTGCTCAGTCTCTTTAATAAAACTAAGCACGATCAGTGACCGGGAAATTATGCGAAATTATAAGTGAAGTTTTAACAAGGTTAATAGATAACTTTACGAGAAGCAGCCAAAATGAATATGCTAAAATCTGAGATGCAAATATTTTTGTAAACAGTGAAACGACTTGTACCAAGCACTACCGACACATGTATGTAGGTAAATACTTGCTAATTATTAAACAATTATGCGCTACTCCTTAAACAGACATTAGCGAAGGGATTACGACAATCGACTTACCGAAATCAGGTGCAAAACAGCTGAAAGAATACGTATAGCGGCGGCTCGTCGACCGGCGATGAGAGCACGCCGACCCTCTAAAAGGAACTTCTGTTGCATCAGTATATCCTTCTTGCGCCGGTACTTTTCCTCAGCCTGCAAGACGTGCAAAAATTTGACAGAAATAAAATTGGGGTTACACCGTCCATTTATAATCGGCTTGAGTGAAAATCAGTCAGTGAGGTAAAAGCAATTTTGCCAAGCCATCGACGCGACACGCATATAAGGCTCACTCCTTTGTTTTTCTAGAAAGTATTGACATTTGGATACCCTTTGTCAGCGCAGTGACCAAACAGCTGTTGGGATTCCAATCACTCGTGATTTAAGCGCGTAACTAGATGCAAATCCAAAGGGAATGTCTTCCAAAACTATCAACCGAGCACCAGAGGATATGTGTGCCTCACGGGTGGACATTAAGATTTTAAAACAGCGGGCGGTCGCAGAGAGCTGTCGGTGAGGGCCAGTGGAAAGCAATACAGGCTGAACACTGATTCCTAGTACTACCGGTGACACAATAAAGTCCGGTCGTCTTAGGAGCTAGTTCCAAATTACAGGACTAGTTAAAGGACTAAAACAAAGACAGGTGTGTGGGTCACATCTATGAATAATGTAAATCGCTCAACACATTATTTGACAGCTGTTGCGGCGAACGAAACCGGACGCCGATTAGCTGCCAGTGTGACGATAAACAACAACAAGCGCAAAAAAGCGGGGAACGGATGGATTCTTTCTGAGGAATCACATTCAGGCGACTTATTGTATTCGTGACGGACGAGAGTTGGGAGCCTCGGCGGTGGCTTAAGTTAAATTGAAGTAAAATTGAGAAACATCGCAAAAGTCAGTCGGAAGAATGCTGTGGGGATTTGTCCAACGACCTGTTTTGTGGGTGGTCTGTCAAACAGTCAACGACTAGGAAGATTTTAGTGCATGGCGAATGATACCAACGATTAAATAGGACGTCGTAGGCCTGCGGTAGCAAGTTTACGGGGTAGGGTCTTTGCACGTGAATGAGAAGAACGCACATTAAAACAATCGAAGTCACCGTGCAGACCGCCAGTAGGTAACGAGTAAGTACAAGCAAATGTCAAACAGGATACCATTAAAGGCTGGGCAGTAGTAAAACTGTTAGATGCCACTATCAAAAACCCACCCTCAGACGACGCCGTTGTTCGCGAGCGAGGCGACTTGCCTGGCGCTCGGCCTCATCAGCTCGGCGTTGAGCTTCAGCAAGAACTTCAGCTTCTTGTTTACGTTTGGCTGCAAGCTCTTCAGCCTCGCGCGCGAGTCTCTGTCGTTTCGCCTCCGCCACTTCCGCAGCCGCACGACGACGGTGTATCCACTCATCTAGGCGCTGTCTGGCAACGTCGCGACGTTCAACTGAGTCGTCTGATAAGTGTTTCGTTCGGTCAAAATCCACCTTAAACATAAATTATCAATTAAGGTCAGTTTTGGAGACAAAACATTATTATCCTCGATATGACTACAAAAAATATGAACCCTAAATTTTGCGATACGGCCTGTTAAGATTAATATTGCTCAGTAAGACAGATGACCTCCAAATGAGACGGTAGGGAATAATTTCAAGTCAAGTAGACATGCCGACATTTACCTGGATTTCGGCCGAAAAATATGACTGTTCTGAGGGTTGCGTCGACTGCAAAGGACGCTTGGGCGCATATACTAGCTTCATGCCGCGAAGCGACTCCATTGCGCTGGAAAATCCTGAGTAGTCAACGTATTGCAGGTAAGCACGGAAAGTGAGGGAACTCCCAGCAGCATTAAATGAAGATGTCTCAGAGGTAAGGCTCCCAGAAGTTCTATCCAGCTCAGGAGTCGCTAAGGGTTTTATTACAGCTGGGGCTATCTTGCCAAAACCAGTGCTATCGCCTTTCAAGTTTGATTCATCCTCGTCCGCAGCAGAAACACCAGCCTGAACGCTTGACTTGATGACGTCCGACGGCACTCCGAGATTTGCTAGGAGTTGTGGGTTCTGAACAGGATCAAGCATGGGGATATCTACGCGACGGATTTTGCCGTATATCTAGGCGGGAAGTTAGAGACAGAAAGCGGGTTTACAAGAGTTTGATACACAGAGGAATACTACGTTGCTTTTTAGATTGTCTATGTGATAAGGCATGTATAAACACATCGTTTCAGTAAAATATTCCCAAAATCAGCAATGATGAGTGTTAGGAGAAAACACTATGCAGTATTCGGGTGAATTCACGTTCGGTATTGAACTGCCATATTACCTCAAACACGTCTTTCAAAATTTGAGCGCTAGGCCAGCTGCTTTTTGAAATAGATCCGAAAGCGCTACCAGTAGAACGGTGAACATCTGCTGCAAACCAGCGAACAGGCAAGTTGTCAATGACAACGGTATCTGGGCGTTCTCCGTACTTTGTCTCATCCATATCCTTGGCATCACGAAAGAACGCGTCCCAGTCATGACGCCGGGGACAGTCAATTTGCGCTTCCGTAGCCCGGACACGTAGGGCTTGGGGAAATCCGCTCAACTTTATTCGCTGGAAAGGGAAAACAGCAACACCTGTACGGTAAGGGGTCTCAAGAGACGTAAAGTTCACATGAGCGTCTACACACCTGAGGGTGGAAGACCGGCGTAGGATACTGCTGTTAAGTTTAGGTCAAAAGCAAGGCAGAAAGCTAACAGGGTTGTGGTCAAATAAGGTTTTTCAGCAGGGGTACAACATGGATTGTACGCAAGGCATCTATCTGTCGTCCAGTGGGCGCCACTCAGAACATGATTGAGCACTATTATCGAACTTTTTAAAGTCGACATTCGAAGATAGCCCGGTGCAGGCCTGTTAAGTCCGAATGCTATCGCGTTAAAAGGCAAACTAAGAAACACGAGTACTATTCGAAAAACCGTTTCTCCCCAACAGTAATCAGCACGTTTTAAATCAGCATTGCACACTAACCTGACTGTCAACAGACGTTAGCACTTTCCGGACTTCAGCTTTCGTGCCAAGCTCTACAACAAATCTTACGAATTCAACAGTCGCTCTCAAAACCTTTAACTGAGTGGGCGGCGACAACAAAGACGGACATAGCTGACGTAGTTTGTCGGCAACCTCCCAGGTAGACAAGGATTTGCCTTGGGAGTTGCCAAATTGAAGTCCTGGCAGCTGAACCGTTATATTGACCTTGCACACTGGCTTTAAGAATAGATCGTGAGCAGGACAAAAGTCTTGCAGAAGATGTCTTTCCTTTAAACAAGCTTCCTTTTCGACAGAAAGCATTGTCGAATCCCCAGGTAAAAGAAGGCAAGCCTAACACAAAGGTGGCTGTAGTCAACACAAAACCAAAAATGACTCCTATAAACAAACAAACTTCGATTTATCACCTGGGCGAACATTGTGGTATTCATTCAATTGCTTCACGAATTCCGGAGTCAGTTATAGGACAACATTCTTAGATCTAAGGTATCTAAATACCTTCTTCAGTCCAGCAGTAACGGTCATTTCTTGGAGACCTGGTGAAGCTGGGTAGCGCAATGAAGACAGTGGCAAAACAATCAAGACACTGCGGTGGGACGGTGGTACATCAGGTAAGGCGATTGTTGGAAGATCCAAGGTAAATTGCAATTTACGGGAGGAGATGCATAGAGGGAATAAACTGTCAAAATTTTGTCGACTCTAGGATCCCAAGATCAATTTAAGCAAGAATTTTGATGAAGCGGCCCATGTGATCGCAGGCTCCAGTTTCCTGCATGGCAAGTCAGATCCATGATAAAGTTGTTGTTTTGAATTTAGTCAAATGACTTGGTAAGCCGTTGACTGCTCCAGCGGCCGAAGATTCGTCCATCAAAATAGCCTCCTTAGCTGTGCCAGCGTTGTGCAAGTCTCGGGATGTTGTCTTGGTGTTAGTGGATTTAACCGTTCTATGAAGGGAACCCAAAGGGTCTTTTAATAAAATCATTTATTTATTTATAATAAAATAACCTTCTTAATGGTTCGTACCCGATGCATTGTCCAGCACGTGCTTATTGTGTTTGTGACAATGGTAGAAAGACTGAGCCTTTAAAGTGTTCCGAAACAGACAAAACAGTTTTCCTGACACATGACTCTGTTCTTGATTTTCGTGGCATTCGCTAAGCTCGGAAACATTATAGGTAAGTAATATTAAAGGTTCGGTCCAGTTTATTGTGGGAAATAAGCGTGACCTTTTGAGTACCCTGTTTGCAACGTAAAATTGGTGCGGTGTACCGCGAAAACATGCGGGTTAAAATAATTCAAATGAGAACAGTATAGTATGAATTTGAGCATGAGTTCCAGATGCTGAGCTCAATCTCTCACCGCTCTTGTTCATTTTAGCGCATAAATATGCCAAGGTTCCTTTTATAGCCTCGTATCGTTAGGGACATTACAACATGTGTGGTGAAGGCGTTCCATTGTTTGAACATTGACAGAGAAGAAGAACTTCTGCACATCCGACCCTGCCTGCTTTATACGCAGTTCCAACGGGTGGCCTCCGAATTTAGTCATGGTAGTGAATCCAAAAAGTCCCCAAAGGCCAGTCTGAAGGCCGATCCCCTCACAATTCGGAAGGCTTGTAAGTGATCAGCGCATGGTTGCCTTTGACTCGAAGGGAAGAGGTTTAAATTTGTTAGGCAGGTTTCATATAGAGAGGAACTTTGACCCTCAAGCATTTTGTGGCTCTTCGAGGCTATTTTGATCCTGAACTGTCCATGGTCCTCAGGTGCGTAAGCCGCATTTCAAGTGCGACCGCACGAATGTTCCGAAAATCTTTGAAAAGCTTTTTGCCAAAATCCACAAATGCCCGTTGGATGGCCTATAGTACGGACATTGCGTTTTTTGCTACTTTCGAACAATGAGCGGATGGTTTTAGAGTTCGTCGTCAGCACACCGACGTCTTTTTAGGCTTCGACGTCTCGCAAAGCCGCACCGTCACGAAATCAATCTCTTGTGCTGGCGTGTCTGGCTGCGGTGTCCAGGCGAAGTACAGTACACCTCCCGTACCAGCGTCTCCTGCACAAGTTGAGAATAATGGGCATTGACGGCAAACTTCTCAAATGGATCAAGAACTTCCTCGTCGACCGTTCCCAAATTGTCTGCGTAGAAAGACAGCAATCAAGGCGGACATTCATAGGAAGTTGAGTCCCACAAGGCTCGGTGCTCGGACCAGCCCTCTTTCTCTTGTTCATCAATGATTGTGTAGATGGGTTAGACAACTTTATCATGGATCTGACTTGCCATGCAGGAAAATGGAGCCTGCGATCACATAGGCCGCTTCATCAAAATTCTTGCTTAAATTGATCTTGGGATCAAAGGTAAAAAATCCTATAGTCGCCAAAATTTTGGCAGGAAATACGGAGGGCGGAAAGAGCATTCAGAGGACACATTTTTAAATGAGCATATCTGTTTTAAGCGATGCAGGAAGCAGTGTATAAACCATAATTTTGGCAAGAAATAGACAGCAGGAATAAAAATGCGCCCTTCTCGCGAATTTGGTCGACGTCAAAAGTACGCCCGCCTTACCTCTCACATAATTTGCAGTCCAAGCCACCCTATTAGACGCTCTTGCAGTTTAATCGCTACCCACCACTCCAATCCTAGTACCCAGCACTAATCAAGACCGATTCCTTCATCAGACGAGAAGAAAAAAGAGGGAAGGCCACTGTCTCGCTCACATTCGACCATGTTGCACCCACCTGTATTTTGTTGCAATTATGAAACACGCTGCCGTGTGTTGGAATATGCTTACAGCTGGCTTGGCTTTATGAAAAGAGATGTACATTCGAACGCCTGCGCACATTTTGCTAACCGAGCATCTCCGGGTATGCCTGTCAGCCTTGTGTGGGGGCTTGTTACTGCGCGCCTTTTCGATATCTGCAACTCTTCTGCGTCCACAGAAGTCCGCATGGCCTAACTAAAAAGCTATAAGGAGCCCCAAAAGCGGCGTCGTCGTTATTGCCTTCGCTTGTAATTTGCCACGGACACCGCGACTTTTCCCTGTTTGAGCCGTTTAGACCTTAATGTGGTCAACCGTTGTAAAAAATAGCAATTTCGTTTTTTTAAAAAAGCGACCCACGATTAAAGTATGACTGGAAGCCTAACTTAAAGTATTTTGGTCTTCAGGTTGTTGTCATGAGGCGGAGGAGGTGTATTCCTAACGTTCGCCTTGACTGTGTGTAACTTACTGCCCATCAGGTTTGCTGTGAGCGTCTTTTGCGATGCAAGTACAGTCCTCCGGGAATTCATTTTTGATCGATTCAAAACTATAAAGCTCATCAGATTGCCTATACATCTGTTCCCACCGAGAAAGTTTCCCCTAATTAAGGATTGACAGTTCGATCATCGGTTTCGATGATGTCCACCGTGTGCCCCACAGTTGCAGCAGCAATGGGAGCAGGGACGGTGACTTACGCAGGGGTTTATAGTGCCGGTAGACTTGCGTAGCATCTACCTACACTCTCTCCTCCTCCCTCGCCCGAGCCCGGTGTCAAGACAGAGTCAAGAAGACCGGAGACGAGGGAGGCCGCAGGTGGATGGCTCGGACGGATCCTCACCTTGGCGTTCCACCACACCCCCTGGTCCACACAACAAATAACCAGGATTTCAACCAACACAACAGAGATTTGGAGGCTGGCACGGCCGAAGCCGCACCTGGGCGTGCCGCCAACGCCTGGCTCGGATCCCACACTGTGGTAAGAATGCCATAAAGGCCACATTAAAAAGGAGCCATTGCAGCCTGACTCTCAGACCGCCTCCCGTTAAGGAGGAGGTCCAAGTTACCCCGTCAGTTGGCAACCTTTCAAGCCACGGCTTTTACCGCACCGTGGTAGCTTCAAGCGCGTCAGATTGTTTATAGTGAGGAGGAAGTGCGCTGAGTCGTCGACCTCACTCTCCCTTCCCACTCCCACACCCCAGCCGCTGTCCGAGACGGTCAGCAGACTGGAGTGGGGAATGGACGCGGTGGCTCTAATGGTCGACTGACCATGACTGCGCGCGCCACGGCACGACCTCGTCCCACATACACACAACACCAGGATTTCACACAACGTGGGTTGAACGACGTGTCTCTCACTTGCGTGAGAGGGCCGTGGAAAGTGCAGCTTCAGCCCGTCCCCAGCCCACCAGTCCGCCACTCCACACAACACACACACACACACACACACACACAACGCGACGAACTGCGTGAGCGAAGAGCGGGCGTCAATCAGGAACCTTCCTATCCACGACGCTTGACGTCTCGGGATAGTCTCGGACTCAAGTCACCCGTGCAGCCGAAGCCGCATGAGGACCGGGTCGAGATGCGGAATTCCCACTTGCGTGGGAGGTGGCAGTTGGGTGCGTGTTGATGTGTGGTGGTGATGGTGGAGGAAGGTAGGGAGTGAGTGAATGTGTGGTGTGGCCGGCGGTTGTCTACCGCAGGTCATCGTGAATGCGCATGTTTCCGAATAGGCCCATGCGATGTCTGAAAGTGCGAGTGCAGTGTGGGCAATTGAGACGAGCGTGGTGGGTGTAGGTTGGTGCTCCAGGCACTGCCTCGCAGTCTCTATGCGGTGGATTCGCAAGTGACCGACCAGGCCGATGTGTGAGGTGAAGATGCGGTCGCCGTGAGGGCAGGTGTTGTCCTGATCCTCATCGCTGGAGTC